GTAGTGAGATTGGCTGGGCCAGCTCAAGTACGTCCTGCTGAGCATTGAGGACTGCTGGGCCACACCAAGCACGGATCCCTACCAGGATGTGCAGCACAAGCTTATTGAGAAGGGGTGAGTGGAGTGACCCTACAGCATCCGGTCTCCTTGCACCATGAGCACAGTTGTGTCTCTTTGCTAAGGACAGGTTGCCGTGAGGGAGCAATGAGCAATGACACCATCACTGCTCATAGGTGGAACCTGTGGTGGCCATCATCATTGAGTAGGTGGAACAGCCCCATAGATGAGTCCCCTAACTGCCATGAATTGAGCCCCCTCTCCTGACCCTGCTCTTCTGCCAATAGTGCTGCCTTCCCTCTAGCATCATTCCTGGTCATCTGGGGAGGCAAAGGGCAAGGAGGGGAGAGGGGAGACCTTCCTGGGATGTGCACAGAGGTATCTGCTGAAGAGCTTGCATTAGAGGTGGCTGCAGCCAAGCTAAAGCCAGTAACATGGATATCCAGGAAGTGGGAGCCACAGCCAGGGTCACTCCACCCCTGCAGAGCAGCTGTGGCCCCACAGAGCAAGACATGAGCCAGCTCCTGTGCTGGTGGCAGCTCCTCCCTGACCTGGGCACAACACAGGGTGCCAAGGAAAGGCATGCCCACCGGCACCGAGACAGAAATAGTCCTGTTCAGCAAAGCTTGGGGGCTGCACCTGGTCCCTGTGTGCTCTGGTGTCCCAGGCTGGGACGTTCCCCCTTCTTTGCCACCTGCTGACTCAGCCATCATGTCCCAGGTGTCCCCACGATGAGACAGTGACATACCTGAATGCCATTGGAGAGAGCACTACTGCCAAGTTCAGCTTCCAGATGTTTCAGTTCGTTGGTTACCCCGAGGTGTTCCTGCACTGCCGTGTCCGGCTCTGTCTCCCCGACAGCCTGGAGCCCTGTGCCACGGTGAGCTCTCCCAGTGGTCTGCACCATGCCCTGGCTGGGCAGAGGGACCTCCCTTCCCTTGGCCTGCTGTTTGGAGAAGGGGTTCTGCTCTGGTTTTGGATGCCTAAGCACAATAAACACCTCCCAGCAGCAGGAGCTCACCCCGGTGCCCTGAACTAAAGGTACAAGGGCTTGAACCCACCAGAGACCTCCTTTTCCTCTTCCCTCTGTCTGTTGGGAATTTGCAGGAGGAGAGGTTGGACTTGGGGAGGAGCAGGCTAAGGTCCTTCAGGAACCAGCTCCTCTCATGCTTTGGGGTCTTGACTGGTCCCAGGCTGCAGCCCCAACTGTGCCTCTGCCAGGGGGAGACCACCAGGACAGCTTTTGCCCCCCAGAGCAGGCTTCTCCCCTGCCCTCTGGTCCCATCACCTTTCCCTTGGCTTTGTTGACAGCAATGCCCCAGGCACTGGAGGAGCAAACGGGCGCTGGCAGATGACTACAATAAGATTGTCTCCTATGGGCCCATCCACTTGCTGGCTGCTCCTTCCTTGGGAGCAGAGACCCACCATTCCAGGACTGACCAACAGGACCTGGGGGGTATGTATGTCGCTCCAGGGAGGGCAGGAGCAGCTCACAGACCCTTGCAACTCTATAGGCAATGCCAGGTTATTAAAAAGGGCTGCTAAAATCACTGCCCTGCACAGAAGTGTGGAGTCTTTCAGGTGTCATGGCTATGCACAGTGTGATCCACAAGCCAAACCAGCACAGAGAGGTTAGCTCTGCATGAGTGGCTCTGTACCAGGCGTGGATCGGGCTGAGCAGGGGAACTGGGTGGGAAGGGACCAGGAGCCAGAAGGCTGTCAGTGCAGCACCCCAGGTGAGGAAGGTTGGGTTTCCACAATGCCAGACCTCTGCATCAACCCAGCAAGGCAGGCTGTTTCTGAGCACTGAGGTCAATCCAGGAGATCCAAGCAGTGGCCCAGGACCAGGGCTGGGGGCAAGCCCACCTACTGCATAGCTCAGACCAGGCATGAATGCTGTGCTAAATGGAACCCCTGAGCAGCGGGTGTGGGTGGAGGCCCCAGGTGAGGCCAGTTGGGGTGACTGAGTCCTGTTAGTGCCCTCAGGGCCCCGAAGCACCCCCAGCTCTGGCGGCTCTTACCTTTCACAGGAGATGACCTCCCCTGAATCTGCCCCTGGCCAGGAGATACCATGCCAGGGCTCAGCATTGGCTTGGGGGACCCAGATGTGTAACCAACCTTTGTCCTCTTTGCCAGGACCCAACCCATGGCTCCCCGGGGCCCTCATCCTGCTGTGTGCACTTGGTGTGCTCACTGTGGCTGCTGTGGCTGTCAGCACGAGGCGGCAAACTGTGTAGAAAACAGCTGTTTCCAAATAAATGTGACAATAGCAGGGAGGCTCTTGCCTGTGTCTTTACAGGGGTTATTTGGGAAGGAGGCAATGGTTGGATGCAAATAGTGCTTGAAGGACGAGTCACATCAGAGTGTTTCTGTTCCCTGTAGCATCCCTAGGACCTTCTCATCCCCTCCTGGCCCGCACTCTCTAGACTCAAAACATACGCAGGAAAGTTGGTGTGTAGGAGCATCTCTGGCATAAAATGCTGCTGTGCTCTGCAGGATCCAGCTGCAGCAAGCCCTGCCTCTGGGCTTGGCCTAGAGATTGCAGAGAGCAGAGGGAGTAACTGGATTTTTTGCCCAGAGTCTTCCTTACCCTGGGCAGATGCTTGATTTTGGCAGGGGTAGACCCCACTGCACAGAGCAGGGGACCGAGGCATTTCTAAAATGGTCTCATTTACAGAGAATGAATTTCCAGAAACCTGGAGTGCAGGAGAGGGATGGGAGTTTTCTTCCTCCTGCTTTCCTCCTCCCCAGAGAGTCACCCAGGTGCATGGGGAGATGGAGGTACCCACACTAGATACTTGTCCACCAAAGCTAGACTTTGCATGGTTCTGTGTGATGCAGATGCAGCATTAGCAGAGAAAGGGCTGCTCTGTGCGTGCACGCGCGTGCATGTGTACGTACACCTATCCATACAGATTTCTTCCTTCTGGATGATGACAAATTGCCAGCAAGATTTTTGCCCATCAACACATTATTAATATAAAGCAAATAACAAACAATATTGTAAGCATCAAAGACTAAATCCATAGTGCTCAGACAGCCAGCAGAGATCTAATACTAAAACATAGATAAGGAGAAGATATATTTTCCCTGTGAGGGGGCTGTGTGTGTACATTCAGCTGAAGCACAGTGTCCTTGCAGAAATCATTGCTGGCCCCAGAGGGTGTTTTGCAGGACGGACACGCAGCAGATCCCTGCCCGAAGAGCTTGTCCCTGGTCCATTTGGAGAGCATGTATTGCAAAGCAGCTTGTGGGATTTCTCTTTTTTTGCTAATTCCCAGACCTGAACCTCCAGAGTCTGGGCTGGAGCAAGTCAATCTTCCCACCTCCAACAGCAGGAAAACCCACTGCTGGGCTGGTCCAGCACAAAAAGCCATCTCTAGCGAAGAGGGGGATGGCTTCATCCTGGCTGAAGGCAGGTGGTTCGTGGGCTCCCTCCTCACCCGCACAAGAGCCCCTGGGGAATGAGATCAGGGGCACTTCAAGACCATGGGGGAGCTGCAGTCTGAAGGGACTTTGGCAGAAGGGACATCTCCAGAGCTCCTTGCCCAAGGCAGGCCACTAGGAACAAAAGGGCTGAAGCAAAGAGCCTTGATGGATCATGCCCACTGAAGGCTAAACTGAGGCATGGTAAACTGAGCCCTCATCCTCCGTGGGGAAGCTGCATCCATCAGGATTGAAGCTTGCTCTCAGTGGGTGCACATACAGGCAGGGAGGGAGGTCTAGCCAGTCCTGGGAGACTGTGGTGATTTTGCCATGTCTGATGATGTGGGAGAGGGACCCAGCAGTCTCTTTCATCTTCGGATAGTAGAGGATGACCAGCCAGATGAATATGAAGATTCCTGCAGGGAAAGGAAGGCAGAAACTCAGCAGGAGATGGTGGGAAGCATCCTGCTGGGATGCTGCCAGCACTTCCCTGCCACTTCCAGGGGGTTCCCCCAGCTTGCTCCTGCTCCTGTATGAGGGTCTCCCCATGCTTCACATGAGCCATTTGGCTGGGACATGCCCTGGGTGGATAATGTGCCTGTTCCTCTGCTAAGGAATGGCTGCCTTGGAGGAAAACCACCCCCAGTGAAGCAGATGTGGTTGGGAGCCATGACCAGCTCCACACCGGTGGCTGGGACCAGCTGCTTGACATACCCTGCCGAAGGGAAGGGCATGACAGTGCTGGGAAGATTCTGGTGCCTTGGGATCCCTGGTCAACCCACTGCCAGGCTGGCTCCTGCCTCCTCCATCTTCCCCATCTGAGCCCAGGGAGCCCAGCTCAGAGCCAGCCCTGACCTTGGAGAGAGTTGAGGATGGTGAAGAGGTAGAGCATGGGTGCAGAGGAGGTGCCATGGGTGAGGAATGCTAGGGCCCAGGTGGCTCCCAGCAGGCAGAAGAGTGCCACCGCCACCAGGGCCACCTTCCAGGCCTTGCGGTCTCCCTGCACTGCCCCCATGCCCTGCAGGCAGCAGCTCTTCTGAGTCACCACCCCAAAGACAGCCATGTTGAAGAGGAAGATGAGGCTGAAGTAGCCACAGTTGGTGATGTAGTGGACCAGGAGATGTTTGGAATTAATCCAGCACCTGAAAAGAGACAACCGTGGTGCCTCCAGTGGCTCTGCTAGCCCTGGCAGCACTCCCATGAGCCTCCCCAGGAGGATGTGTTCAGGGATGCAGGGACACTCTTCTGCTGGTGGGGTTTTCCAAGGCCAGGGTGAAGCACAGTGCTTCACAGTGGTGCGGATCCACTGCCTTTGTGTGGCTCAGCTGGAAGGGAGCCTGGGGTGGCTCCAGGTGGACCTTGGATGTCCCTCCATGACCTGGAGGCCTGCAGGCATGACCAAGGAGGCTCGGCACAAGAGGTGGTGGTCGTTACCACAGCTGTAGCTGCTGTGTTGTAATCACAATTAGGGAAGCAGAAGCACAGCATAAAGCCGAGCAGGATGGGTGCAACCCCCCACCACTGCTCCCAGAAGGACCAGGTTACCACTCCCTGTGCCAAAGGGCCACCTAAGCCCTGTGGGCGGTCATGCACGCACAGGTGGGCTATGACCTGGTGGTCTGTGGTCTGGATCCTGTATTCTCCGTAGCTGCCGATGACTCCTGCCACCCCCACCACAAGAGTGGGGAAGCCTGGAAGAACAAGGGAGATACATGGAGGAGACCAGAAAGGCAAGTGATGGGCAAGGTGGTCAGCTTGGGGTCTCTGCATGTCCTTGGATGTGCTGATCTCAGGGAAGATGGGTCTTAGGGGCCCGCTGAGGTTGCACAAGTGCTGGGGGCACAACAGTTGCTGCTGGGACATGATGTGGAGAGGGAAGGACAGTGCTGGGTGGCAGGGCTCAAAGTGTCCCCTAACCTCTCTGTGGGATCATCTTCTCTGGTGACCCCCAAGGTGCCATGGAGGGCTGGCAATGGGGGAATGAAGACCCCCAAGGACATCACCTGCTCAATGAGCAGGAGGCTGGTCCCCAGGGGGATGAAGGATGCCTGTGGGTGCTGCTCTGAATTTGGTGCATCGAGCCCGTCTAATACACTTCTGAGCCCTGACCACAGCATTTGGAAGAGCTGTGGGCAGGATGGGGGCTTGCTCACTCTCTGCCCATCACTGCATCACCCTGTTCCCCCTCTGTTTGTAACCCACTGCCCCCCTCTGCCCCCAGCTCTTGCCCAGGTTGGTGGTGCTCACCCCAGCCGATCAGGCACAGCTTCTCCAGGTAGTGGTGGATGTAGGTGCCGAGGACCTTGACAAAGAGGAGGTAGAGGTGACAGCCCTCCAGCACCGTCCAGGTGAAGCAGCAGAGCAGGAAGTAGTGGGTGAGCCCCCCCAGGACCTTGCAGGTCCCCGGCTGGGTCCCACTGGAGAGCCCGATGTTGAGCAGGAAGGCCAGGTTGAGGAGGAGCAGGCTGCCCACCAGGTTCACGTGCAGCCCCAGGTTGATTTGGAGGGTTTCCTCAGACCTGAACCTGCACCTGAGCGTCCCATAGGGAGCAGAAAAGGCAGGCATCACAGCTGAGTGGGGCCTCATGCCGTGTCACAGCAGGTTCATGCAGAGGCACTGGAATTGCCCCACATCTCTCCCACTCCCAGCCTGATTAGTCCCCAGGGAGCTGCTGGCACATCCTACCTTAAGAAGATGCAGAAGGCGATGGTGAAGATGGAGAAAGCCATGGCTACCCCGCAGCCAACGGTGGCAACAGCCATCAAGGCTTGTGCCGTGGACCCATCCAAAGCTGGATTCTGCCAAATGCGCACATTGGGTTAGACAGGCCCTGGACCAACCTAGAAAACCTGACTGCAGTTACCAGAGCCATGGGGCTGATAACCCTGGTGAGCTGCTGTGGGGACCCCACACAAGCCCTGGTCTGTCCCCCCAGAAGGTCTTTGGGGGGAACAGGGCAGTGGTGGCACAGAGGAGATGCTTCCTCTGGTGGGGTGAGGGATGAGTTGAAGGCTATGGTGGGCCACCATGAGCACCCTCCTGGGAGCCTCTACCAGGGGACGGGACCCCAAGCCTCACTGCTCCAGACCCTGCACCAGGCTGGGGGCCATTTCCACCCTGTACTTGCTCTGCTGAGCTGCTGCTGCCCTCCTGAGCTGGGGCTGGGCTTGATTTTGGGACCTGGGCTTGCCTGGGACCAGCTATAACTGTTCCCATGCAGCTACTTGTGACACCCAAGGGGCCACCAAGGTGGGGCAGGCAGCACAGCCGGGGTACAAGCAGGAGCTGTGGAGAGTGGGATTGTCACCAGGAGGAGGGTGAAGAAGGTGAGATGGTCACAGGAGCAGACTGTCCTCTTGTCCCTGGGCTGCGTGACGCATCCACTGCTTCTCCAGCCTCCTACCTGCCCTGCAACAGGTGTAGGGTGTTGGCCATGAGCGCTGGGCACAGCAGCCATGCCCGGCCCCATGCCTGGCCCTGGTGAGGACCATACCTTTGCTGGGATCCCAGAAGACACATTGCGGGGTGACACCCTGCAAGGGAGGAAAGCAGTGTCAGCCACAGTGAGGGGCACCAGAGGAGGGATGGAAGGAGGGTACAGCTGACTTACATGGGGCAGCTGCCCATGGTTGAAGGTGAATTTCACAGGGTCCCGCAGCCCAGAAATGCTTGTCTCTCCCACCGTGATGCCCACCACGGTGTCATCCAGGACCTGCCCTGTCTGGTTGACCTCCTGCTTGGGGGCAATGCTGCCTGAGCTGAGCCGGCAGGTAGTGAGTGCCAGCAGCCAGAGGGATGTCAGCAATGCCACCTTGTACCTTGAACATGCCAAGCTGCTGGATGTTGAGGACCGTCACCACTACATGTGCTGTCCGGCTGCTCAGGGACCAGAATACTTCCCTGGGGAGCTGGATTTTGCCTGCCGCCTTCTCCGTCATGTTCATCATCCTGGGGCCCTGTGGTGGCAAACAGTGGTGGGGCATTGCTGACAGTGTCACCTCTCTGCTTGAGGCCCACCAATCTTGCTCCAGGCAGAAATTCAGCCCTGCCCGGGTGGGTTTTGCTCAGCAACATTGGCAGGAGCCCCAAGGGCAGAAGGGGAGAACCTCATCCCCAGTACCCAGCAGCAAAGGGGCTGGGCTTGGAGAAGCTCCCAGGAGAGCCCCAACCCACCATCACCACATGGGATGTGGTTTCCTGTGACATCCAGAGAATGGGAAAGCCAGGGGGTGAGCAGGAGTTGCAAGGTCCCACACGTTACTCCTCCTCCTCTTCTTCCCCCTCCCCCTGACTACCTGCCTGCTGCTGGGATGGCTCCTTGGGGATGGCTCTTCCCCCACAAGCACCATTTCATGTGACGCGTTGCCAAGGGATGCTAAAGCTGACGTGCATCCATGATGCAACCGTGGAGCAGGGTGGAGGAAGAGCATGCCATGGCATGCCAAGCCCCAGGGCAGGGGCCAAGTGATGCTTGGAAGGCATGGGGCCTTCCAAGCGAGGGAGAGGGGTGCATCTCACCTCTGTGGGGGAAAACGTGATGAGGACATCATGGGTGACAGCCCTGCTGACGTTCAAGAGCAGCACCTTCAGCCCGGCCAGCCTGCTGTGCAGCACTGGCCCCACCGACTGCAGCAGCCTGCAGAGAGGGAGGGCTGTGGGACCAGTGGATGTGGGGGGCTGAGCCCCCAAACCTGCCATGGCCACCCCTCCCTACTACCTGAGCCAGCGGTCCCGCAGGCAGGTGCAAGCGGGGCTGCTGGAGCGCTCCAGCTCTGGGCAGCGCCGGGGCAAGTCAAGGCTGAGCGTCCCATTGCCTTGCTCCTCTGACTCCACCATGTCGCAGCACCAGTGGTACCTGTCACCCCGCCTCAGGGCTGGGGAGGAGAGCAAGGTGACCGCTGGGCACTGTGGCACTGGGCAGGCACCAGGGCGAGGGCAGGGATGGAGGGGACCACTCACCGGCACAGCTCTCCTGTCCTCCAGCAGCATCTGGAAGAAGAGCGCATGGGGAAATGAGGGAAACCCTCAAAATCTAGGGTCAGTCCTCCCCCTGCCCGAAGGGGAAGGGGGAGGCAGGAGAATCTGGCAGCTGCCAGGTTCAAAAGGAGCAGCCCTACAGTTACATGGGCTTCAAAAAGCAACTGGACAGCCATACCAGGGCAGGTAAAAGCAAAGCCACCATGCCTGTGTTGACATGTCCCTGTGTCTAGCCCTCCCAGGGTGGCTCACAGAAGAGACCCTGGTCTGCTGGTCTCAGATTTTAAAATAGCCCCCAGCAGCAAACCCCGCTGCTCTGCTCACCTCTGCCAGCTCTCTGCACATCCCAAGGTGGACACACCCTCCTGGCCCAGCCACATTTTGTGGTGAAACCCCACCACAGTCTTTGGGTCAATACTTTCCCATGGGAAAATGTACCTCCCAAGCCCATGCACACCCCAAGCTGGGGGTGCCTGCGTCCCCCTCATCCGCCACTCACCGGGCAGCACCAGGAGCAGCAGGAAGGTGCCCAGGAGCAGGTTCATGCTGCTTTGTGGGGTCTCCTGGCCACCCCCAGCCATCCCACAATGCTCTGCTCCCCTTGTCACGGCAACTCTGCACCTCCCTGGGCTCCCCCAGGGCTTGTGGCTGCTCCTGAGGCAATGGCTGTGTCCTCATTTCCCTTCTGCAAACCTTTCGTGCCTTCCTGTGGGTTAGCAAATGACCTTCTGCCCCACCTCACAGCAACAGTGATAACCATCAGAGCCACGTCGTTTCCCCCTTGGCTGCTTCCCCCAGCTGACTCAGGGCTTTTTTCCTTCCCCTTCTCCCCCACATCCTGCCAAATCCTTGGCCAATGCCCTCCACCAGCCCAGCAACATGTCAGGGCGTCCCTCTCCCAAACTAGGTATGCCGCCATGCACCACCACAAGCTGCCAGGGGTGAAACATCCCCTTCCCGGAAAGGTCCCTCTGCCCTGGCAGGGAGCTGGGAACTGGGCAGAGGGGTATCAGCTGCAAGCAGACCATCATCCAGAAGGGGTTGGGAGATGCAGTACTGCGTTTGCAAGTGGCACATCAAGGAGATCCATGGTCTCCATGGCCTCGCAGCCACGGAGGGAGGCAATTCCCATCCTGTGAAGCCTCCCTCTTCAGATTCCCATCTTCTGCCAGCCTCCCTCTTCAATGGGTAGTGACAGTCCCTGGAGACTGCAGCAGCTTCCCAAGCTGTGGCATCCCCCTCCATCACCCCGACCTCTATGGCACCAGGCTGCCTGTGCTCCGCTGGGAGCACCATTAGTGGTCGCAGCTCGTCAGGATCCTATGGGGTGAAATGCCAGGTCCTGCCCCGGGGATGGGACAACCCCAGCTGAGAGACAGATCTCATTAGAGAGCCTGAGAATGTGCCCAGCAGAGAGACCCCAGTGAGCCACGCTCCAAGCAGAAACAATTTTAATGGGCACAAGTCTGGTGTGCAGGCACGCTCATTAAACTTCTACACCATCCAAAAATATACATTCAACAAAATAACAAAAATAGACTATTTCAGCTGCTAAAGGGTGTCACAGGAGCAGTGTTATTCTGTCTTCACTGGGGAAGGACCCTCTCAGTGACCACCAGCAAGGGCTGAAGATGGGGCCTCTCCCACCCATCATCCATGGCCTCAGGGCATGGGAGGGGACGTCCAGAGGCACTGGAGACCCTGTCCCTTCCCCTTCTGCTTTCTTGCAGCCCTCATTGCCCAGGCAAGCATCCCTCCCTCCTGACCCAAGGATGGCAAGCTGAGGGGTGCTCTGCTGCCCAGCGGAATGTGGTGGGTGGGAAAATTGGGGAGGGGGCTGGCAAGAGGTGAGGGGTGGCTGGCCCCACTGGGGGTCCCTGGGCTCCTAGCAGCCCTATGAGGCAGGTGCAGTAGCAAAGTAGACAGTGTTGGTCCTTCCCACAGCTGTCCTCTGCGCAGGGAGCCCTGGCACGGTACAGTGGGGCCATTGCGGGGCTCAGCTGAGGTGGCTCTGGCTGCTGTTGGGCTGCAGTTTGACGCTGTCAGAGCTGCTTTGCAAGTCAGGGGACTTTCTTGCCTGCAGCACCATGGTCCAGTACCAGAGGAAGATGAGGAAACCTGGGACAGGAGGGAGGAATCATAGAGTCATTTAGGTTGGAAAAGACCTTTAAGATCATCAAGTCCAACCATAAACCTAACACTGCCAAGTCCACCACTAAACCATGTCCTTAAGCACCACGTCTACATGTCTTTTAAATACCTCCAGGGATGGTGACTCAACCACTTCCCTGGGCAGCCTGTTCCAGTGCTTGATAACCCTTTCAGTGAAGAAATTTTTCCTAACATCCAGTCTAAACCTCTCCTGGCACAACTTGAGGCCATTTCCTCTTGTCCTATCACTTGTTACTTGAGAAAAGAGACCGACACCCAAAGGGAAGGAAGGGTGGGTGAAACCCCTCTAAGGACCAACAGCAGTTGAGAGCGAGCCAGCCAGCCTGCCAGGGATAGCTCCTCTTGTACCCCATCACCACCCCACCAATACCCCATGAAAGCCCCAGTGCCCTTCAGAGGAAGCCCAGCATCCCAGGCTTACCTTGGAGGGAGTTGATGATGGTGAAGATGTAGAGGGAGACAAGGCGGAAGACACCGGAGGTGAAGGAGAAGAAGACCAGTGCCCAGGGGATGCCCAGCAGGGTGCTCAGCCCAAAGAGGGCTAGGACATGTTTGAGCTTGTGGCCTTTCTTGTTCTGCCGGAGGATCTCCCGGACCATGGCCCCCAGCATGACTGAGTTAAAGAGGAACACCAGGCTGAACAAACCCAGGTTCACAACATTATGGATCAGGGGGCTCGTGATCCAGCATCTGGAGGCAAGAGAAAGGGCAGAGAGTTATGCTGTGTTGTCCTACAGGGACATGAGTTGGAGGGGTTGGGGGAAGCACGAAGGTGTGGTGCAAACCCAGCACCCAGCTTAGTTAAACAGGATCCCCCACCACCACCCTGCACAAAGCCCTAGAAAAGCCACAGAGGGACTAAGGAAAGTCTGTAGGACACAGTGAAGGTTTAGCCAGTTGGCTTCATCGAAGACCAGGGACCAGGCAACCCATTTCCCATGACTTACATGGTTGCGTTGGTGGATTTGCCACCAACAGATTCATACACAGGAATGGAGAAGGGGCCATAGTTCGTCCAGCTAGCCAGGAAGATGAGCACCACACAGAAGAAGGGGAGTCCTGGGTGGCAAGAACAGAGTGAAGCAGCCGCCCTAGTCCCGAGCCCTCAGTCATTCTGGAAGGATTTGTTGCCCTTTTCTCCCCATATAGAGTACAAACCAATGTCATCCCTCCCAAGGGGGAACCAAGGATGGAGCACGCAACAAGGATGCCTGGCGTAAGCCCTGGCCTGGGAGCAAGCTGTGCTGCACCAACCCCAGCTGGGGGTTTCCCAGGGTTGTGGAACTTTAGGTGACAAAAAATCATGAAATCTTCCTACCATGGCCTCCTGCCCAAAGCATGGCAGAGATGTGTGGGTGCTTCCTGCACCAAGCCCATGTCCCTGGACTGTCCTGGATGTTTCTTTCAGAAAGAGAGGATCCCATTACTATTTAAATACCCCAAGCAGTGGCTCTCACATGCCTCCCTTGCTGGGTGACCCCTAGGGTGACCCACCCTTGCTCTAGCACCACCTTCTGCTTTCAGCCACCGAGTCTCCTTCTCCACCAAGTCTCTCGACAGAGAGACCCCTCTGCTCTCAGACATCTGCTCCCCCACAGCTACGTCTCCATCCCCATCCAGGCACCATAGATAGTGGGAAAGACCTACTTGGGTGCCCCTCCGCCCCCATTGCCCATGCCCTCAGGGCATCTCTGCCTCCCTCATGCTCACCCCAGCCCACCAGGCAGAGCTGGAGGAGGAAGTGGTCATGGTAGGCGTTGAAGACTTCAATCACAAGCCGGTAGAGGTTGTAGCCCTCAATGCCCATCCAAGTGAGGCAGCTCAGGAGGGAGAAGTGCAGGAACAGCCCCCCAGCTCTGCAGACAGCCTCACTGCTGCTGGAAGCCAAGTGCTCTGAGATGAGGAAGGTGACGTCCAGGAGGAAGATGGCACCCAGCAGGTTCATGTGGATGTGCATGCTCGTGATCTGGTCTCGCTGCTTGCTTCTGGAGAAGCGAGGAGGGGGGGACACCTCACCACCATGCCTGGCCAGTATCCTTGGTGTTCCGCACTACCTCATAGCTCCGCATGGGGCAACTCACCCCCACCAGAAGAGCCAGGAGACCCTCTGGTGGTGTCAGGGGCTGAGAGCCTAACTCCATGGACCCATTGCATGTGCAAATTCAGGTCCCTGCAGCTGACCCTGCATTTCATCTAGGCAATGGGGGGTAGGGAGCGACATCATTTCAGCTCTGAATCATCCACATAGGATCACTGACATGACTCAGGAGAAGACACTCATGTTCTCCACCGGGCCCTTGAAAAGATATTTGCAGGCTTCTGCTTGCCGGATACATAACAACAACCAAGCTGATTTTCCAAAATCATTGAAAACAGCTGGTGGTTTTGAGTGCCCTGCGGGACATCTGACCAAGGGGGTGGTTTCTGAGAGGAGAACTCTGCTTTCTTCAAGCATGGCTCCTTCACCATGCTTCTTGCCAGACCACCAACTGTGTTTGGAGAGCTTGCGCCTACCCAGGTGTAGTGGCAATGGACAGGATGCAGATGGGGAGCATGCGGTGACCTCTCAGACCGTACCTGAAGTAGAGGAAGAAGATGGTGCAAATGGATGCCAAAGCTGAGATCAGGCAGCCAATGTAGGTTATGATACTCAGGTAATCCCTGTGTATGTAGGAGATCTCCGGGGAAGATACCTGAGGAGAAGGAGGAATGAGAGACAGTGAGGAAAAACAGCTGGTGGGAATGATGTAGAGAGCTGCGGGAAGGCGCTACCCACCATCAGCACGGCAAAGTAGGTGAGATGGTTGCATCTGCAGTCTGTCTGGCTGCCCCCCATCACTGTTGTACAACCATAGCTGTCCCAGCTCCCAGTGCTGGCTGCACAAGAGAAAGGGAGAGCGTCTGGTGAGCAGCAGGAACATCTGCTTTGGGTTTGTGGATCTTTGGGGCAAGGTGTCCATGGTAGGGGGGAGGACAAAAGTAGGGGTCCCAGCTTGCCTCAAGCCAAGCACACAGAGTCAGATAGCACCCTCAGCACCAGAACCCATCCCTAGGGAGGGAGAAAGCTCTTAGGTTAGCTATGGAGGGGAAAACCTGAAATCAACCCCATGGGAAAGGTCTATGGATCTGGAGCAAGGAAGGCAGGTGCAGAGCAACTTCTACTCCTACCAGCAGGTCTGTGGTATCCTGCAAAAGGAGCAAAGGCAACGCCTGGCTTCACACCCAAGTGCAGGAGCACTTACCAGTGGTGTCCTCCTGCCAGAAGACGCACAGTACAGTCACATTCCTCTGCAATGACAAAACCACAGGCCCTGATCAGGATGCAGCTGTGGATTTGTTGCCTGACCAGCACATTTGATAGGGAAGAACAAGGATCAGGAGGCGAGACAGTCTCAGGAGACAAACCGTC